ATTTTTATTAGTCATTTTAGGACTTAATTGTATTATTTTCTTATATTGATAGCTTAAGTTGCAAATATTGTATTTAGGGGTATTTTAGGTAGTTTAAATGGTTGAATAGTGAAAAGGGGTATTTTAGAAAGGTTATTGCTAAATTTTGGGTATTTTCAATAATTTCCCATGGATCTCACCCCTAGGGTTTTCAATGCTTCCAGATCCATTGGTGATGTTCCCAATGCCTGAATCCCTCCAAAAATTGGAGAATTCGGAATTGCATGTTCCTTAGAGTCAACAACCAAGTTTGACTCTCAAATTGAATCGATTGGTGAATAATTTAGATCAATTGGACGCTTACCCATTGAGGTATGAACCTGATTTGAAATGCCCATGGATGAATTGGTAAAACGGAGCATGGTGGGCCCATAAATTGTATGTGGCAGGCTACTGGAGTTGGTGGGTGGTTTATGGTCGAAATTGGATCAATTGGCTGTTAATTGGGACAATTAAATTCACACCCACTATTATATGATGTCGATGAGAATTAACATGTGGCAAATTATGTAAATCAACACCCTCAAACCCATGAATTGAAAGAGGCACACTGGCCACGTTTTTTTGCGCACAACAAATGAGGATTCCAAGGCATATCAGCAATATTGTACTTTTTCGTGATGTTTCTCTATGAATATGGGTGGCTAGACGAAGTGGATTGACCGGCAATAGTGGATGACCATGGGTATTGACGGAATGAGCGGAATTGGTGAAAAAGTCGTGCGGTTGTTGGTGTATTTAGGGTTGATTCAATTTTGTGGCTGTTTGTATAATTGTTTGGTTGTGATGGATTGAGGGAATATTGGCGTCGACGGGGGGAGGGGTGAAATTCCGACGATTTTGGCGGCGACAACAAGATAGATTTAGGAGGAATTGGTGGTAGTTCCATGGAGGGGCAAAAATCGCCCATTTTTAGAGAGAAAGGGGAATGTTAAGTCATGGATTCTATGATGTATCACTAAATTTGGACCATTCTTCAATTTGATAGAAGATTGAGGTAGCAAAAGGTGGTGGTGGTTGTCGAGGAAGAGAAGAGAGAGATTTTTTTTTTAATATTTAAATAATTTACTTGGACTTATTTGCATATTTTTAAAAAGTTTG